CGTTTCATTGCCATGGTTACAATCCCCTTCATGCATCATCAACCAACAAAAGGGTATACCCTACAAGCCTGCCCCCCGGTCGTCAGCACACAGCTCCTCTCCCTCTCTGGGTCTAAAGTCCCCAGCTGCTCCATCTCTCCAGGTCATCGTCTCTGCCTCCATCTCAGGCATCACTGCTTCTCTGGGTAGGGTCCCGCTGTCCGCTCTTCTCCCTTGATGATCCCAGGGACCTCTGCTCCTAGACTGCAAAGTTAATCTCTCTCCTCCTTGCTACAAAACATCTACCTTTACATTTCCAACCCTCACAATCAGTCCTGATAACAATTATTCACTATTGTATTAAAAGAGACCACATTTCATTTCATCAGCCCCACCTAACAGATTGGATACTACTCAGTGGAGATTCTACCTTCATTCACACCCCCTGAATCTAGGTTCCCTCTTGAAAGCTTGTAAGCCAGCAGTTATGATGGTTTATGTTTCCTTTATGTTGAGGTGCAATTCATACTGAAGACTAGATAGCCTTTGGTCTTCATCAGTAAGTATCTTAAGTCCTCTTTGCTTTCAGCAAGCAAGGTTGTATCATCTGCATATCGCAGATTGCTTATGAGTCTTCCTCCAATCCTGATGCCACATTCTTCAGAGTTCAGTTTCTTGGATTATTTGCTCAGTGTACAGATTGAATAAGTATGGTGAAATAATACAGCTCTGGTGCATATCTTTCTTGATTTTAAACCATTCAGTATCCCTTTGTTCTGTTTGAATGACTGCCTCTTGGTCTATGTCCAGGTTCCCTATGAGTACAATTAAGTGTTTTATAACACCCATTCTTGGCAATGCTATTCATAACTTGTCTTGATTCACACAGTCAAAAACCTTTGCAGAGTCAATAAACCATAAGTAAACATCTTTCTGATATTCTGTTTTCAGCCAAGATCCCTCTGATGACAGCAATGATATCCTAGTCGTCTGAATCTGGCTTAAATTTCTAGCAGTTTCCAGTTGATGTACTGTTGCAACTAGTTTTGAATTATCTTGAGCAAAATTTTACTTACTTTTGATATTAATGATATTGTTCAGTGACTTCTGCATTTTGTTGGGTTACCTCTCTTTGGAACGGGCACAAATATTGATCTCTTAAAATTGGTTGGCCAGGTAGCTAGTTGTCTTCCAAATTTCTTGACATAGATAAGTGAGCGCCTCCAGTGCTTCATCAGTTTGTTTAAAGAATTATATTATGTCAATTCCTAGAGTTTTGAATGCCTTCAGTGCAGCTTAGGCTTCTTCCTTAAGTACCATTGGTAACTGATCATATGTTACCTCTTGAAATGAATGGTTGAGCATTAGTCATTTCTTTTTGGCACAGTGACTCTCAGTATTCTTTCCATCTTCTTTTGATGCTTTCTGTATCGTTCAATATTTTCCCCACAGAATGCGATGAATGCTTGAATATTTCTTCAATCCTTTCAACTTGAAAAATGCTGGGTGTGTGCTTGCCCTTTGATTTTTATTTTATCTCTAGGTCTTTGCACATTGACTTTGTCTTCTCGAGCTGCCCTTTGGAATTTTATGTTGAGCTCTTTTACTTCCCCATGTCTTCCTTATACACAAGAGAGCAAGTTTCAGAGTCTCTTCCTACATCCATTTAAATCTTTTCTTCCTTTCCTGTTTTTAAAATAATCTTTTGCTTTCTTCCTGCATGATGTTCTTGATATCGACCCATAGGTCTTCTGGTCTTTGATCATTAGTGTCTAATGCACCAAATCTGTTCTTGAGATGGTCTTTAAATTCAGATGGGATATATTCAAGGTCATATTTTGACTTTTGTGGGATTGTTTTTATTTTCTTCAGTTTCAGCCTGAAATTGTAAAGAGAAATTGATGGTCTGTTCCATAGTCGGTCCCTAGCTTTGCTTTGACTGATGACAAGTTTTTTCCACTGTCTCTTCCCACAGATGTTGTTTATGGGAAGAGGAAGTCAGGCTCTGGCTAAATTCCACCTCCGTTTTTGTCTCAGCCACTGGCCTGAGACTGCTTGTTTCTGTCTCAGGCATTGGAAGATAATAATTGCCATGCTCTGGGCAGAATTTTTCATATATGAGCATCCCGATCCATATCATTGAACAAGAAAATAGAAAAAGCACATGACAAAAGAGGGAATTCACAGGAATCACTGAGGGACAATGATAAGCTATAGATATTTAACCAAAAATAAGAAAAATTAAATAAAATTATTAACTCGTGAGTTGGGAAAATGTTTACGAAAGGATTATTGTGATTGGTGGGTGGTAGGCTTGGCTCATCAGAGAAAAATATTTATATAATTGTTGTTGTTGTTGTTAAGTGCCGTCGAGTCGGTTCTGACCCATAGCGACCCTGTATAGGGTTTCCGAGGGTGTAAATCTTTACGGGAGTAGAAAGCCTCATCTTTCTCCCGCGGAGCGGCTGGTAGTTTCGAACCGCTGACCTTAAGGTTCGCAGCCCGATTCGTAACCACTATGCTTTATATAATTAGAATAATAAAAATACATTTTTGTGAGTTTTCTTTGGAAAACACACATCCCCACATGTTCAATTAATCATAACCTTAGCATGTAGTTTGCTTATTGGTAACTCTCATTTGCATATTGAAAATCAAGTTCTTTCTCTTCCTTCTTAAATTGCCTCATCAGCACAGAAGGTAGAAAGCATCGTTTCTCATACATCATTATTATTAAAGATAACTTCTTTATGCATGAAGCTAAATTGATACATTCCGGTGATATAATGAGTGACAGGGTCGTGCACAGAGGCACCCTTTTATTCTGAGTAGTTTAAAGGTTGACAGTTTGGAGGAAGCCATTAATACCATGGAACTCATTCATTCTTTCTGGGTTGCCATTTCCCTCTTGTGAAAAAAAAAAAAAAAAGCCTGGATAAATGATGATGATGGTGGTGATGATGATGGAAAACCAGAGTCCTAAGAGGAGGGGTTTAACTGACACAGTGGTGAGCTGAGAGCTGTGGACCCAAACCCAGGGCTAAGGACTCTAGATTGTTATTGTTAAGTGCCATCAAGTCAATTCTGACTCATAGCGACCCTGTATAGGGTTTCTGAGGAGTGGCTGGTGAGCTTGAACCGCCAACCTTGTGGTTCACCGACTTTGCAGTCCAGCATATTAACATACAGAACCACACCAGGACTCCAAAGACTCTAGATGGTGTGTGTTAAATCACTGCCCACACTACCTTCGAACCTGGTCTTGATCTGGGCTCGCTGGGCATTTTATGGTCACTCCTGTCGGAATTAGTCAAAGCTTGCACTCCAATCCTCAGAAACGTTTTGTGAAATGCCATTTGCTTTCTTCCTTTCTGGTTCCAGGGCCCAGAACACCCGAATCCTGGGAAGAGTTTCAGCGCCCGCGGCTTCCCACGTCACTGTTACCTGCCAGACAGCGAGAAAGGAAGAAAAGTAAGAGGAAGCTTCAGGGAATTTGTGTTTTCTGACAGCCCCAGATTTTGTTTCCTACAATGCACTGGTCAAAGCAAGTAGGGTCTCCTGTAACTATAGCTGTGTGTGGATCTAGATCATATTGAGTAAACTGTAGGTGAGAGCAGATACGATTCTAATTTTTTCCGAGGTGTGGGTAGGAAGAATTTTAAGGTGGCACTGTAGGATAAGGTGGTTTGAACTATAAGATTGGTGGTTCAAACCTACCAGCTGCGCCTCAAAAACCCTAAACAGGATCACTATGAGTTGGAGCCAACTCCACGGCACTAACAACAACAACAGTTGCTAAGCAAAATGTTGGTGGTTTGAACCAACCAGTGACTTTGAGAGAGAAAAGACCAGGTACTGCTTCCCAAAAAGGTTGAGCCACTACTTTTGAGTCCCTTCTGACCCATAGGTACCTCACAGGGCAGAGTAGAACCACCCAAGGCTGCCATCTCCGTGGAAGCAGACTGCTGCATCTTTCTCCCGCAGAGCATCTGCTGGTTTGAACTTTTTAGGTAGCAGCTGAGCACTTTGAACAATGTGCCACCAGGTCTCCTTCTCCTATAGATTATAGCCTAGGAAGCCCCGTGGGTGTGTCATATAAGGGTTATGGGAGTCAGAAGTGACACAATGCAACACAACAAAATATGGGGCATTTTGGCTTTTCCTCTCTATGATACGACTGACAATAATTCCTCTATTTCAGCATTTTTTTATCTAGAACCTAGCTGTCTGCTTTTGAAAACTCAGTCATTGAAAACCCTATGGGGCCATCCTGATGGGAGTCTGCCATTTGTTGAATAGTGTGCACCAGGCACTGCTTTGAAAGTGCTTTTCACTTGATGCCCCACAAAATGCTGTCTTAGGTTGGGTTTTCTACAGAAGCAAAACTAGTGAAACATACGTACGCATGTATATGTTTATTACCTTGTAATTGTACAGTCCAGGGTCCCAGCAGAAAAGAGAGTCCCTATCCTGTGTCCAGTATATTGGAAGCAGGCCACACCCCCAAGGAACCATCCCTTCAATTGATTGGCTGCTCATAGCTGCTCATCATAGCGCTAACTATGCCTGTATGAGGTTTCATCACCATGGGATTAAGTACATCCCAACTGCTAAATCTCTGGAAATCCGGGCCTCGTCAAATTGAAACAGAACCCTAACCATTACAAATGCTCACAATCGTTAAGAGGCAGATTGTCCCTTCGCCATTTTATAAACAAGGAAATAAAAGCTCAGAGAGGTGAAATAACTTGTCTTAGGTGACACCATTAGTTGGTAGCAGCTCAAGGTTCAATCTATAGGTCTCTGACTCCAAGTCCAAGGCCCTTTCTGTTCAAGGTTGCAGGAAGGGTGAGTCCTGGGAAAACTGGCCACTTAGGGGTAGTTGGAGTCCTGGTGTGGCACTGTGGGTTAATGCGCCAGACTGCAAAGTCATTTGAATCGCAAGGTTGGCGGTTCAAGCTCACCAGTAGCTCCTTGGAAACCCTATACAGGGTCACTATGGGTCAGAATCGCCTCTACGGCACTTAACAACAAGAAAGGGTAGTTTGCTAACACTGCAAGCCCATCTTTGTTCTCCTGCCCCGGCTCTCTTAGGTTCTGAAGCTGCTGCTGGTGGCCTGGGACCGCCGCCTCATCTTCGCCATTGGTACCTCCAGCACCACAGGCGAGTCAGACACTGTCATCTGGAACGAGGTCCACCACAAGACAGAGTTTGGCTCTAATCTCACTGGCCACGGATACCCAGATGCCAATTACCTGGATAATGTGCTGTCCGAACTGGCTGCCCAGGGCATCTCTGAAGATAGTGCTGCCCAGGAGAAGGACTGAGGCTGGAGGGTCTTTGGGGTGGGGTGGATCCATGGGGACCACAGGGCAGGAAGTGGGGAGAGTCAAGGTAGAAGTTGGTGCCAGGCCCTCCCAACTCCCTCATCTCCCCTCCTGTCCTGTCTCCATCCCTCCTGTTCCTTCTGGCCAGAGGAGGGAGCCAGAAAGGATAAGGCGACATCATTCATAAACCTCATCCTACACAAAGGGAACATGGGATGAGGGCCATCTTTGATGTGTTCCCATGGAGCTTTTGGTGCTGGGTAAGCAAGAACCCCCTCACCCCCGAGTAGGGGACTTGGTCAGCACACTTGGGGTACAGATGGTGCAATGGCACCCTATACCCTGGCCTTGTGAAGCCTGAGATACATGGCCTCTGCTGGCTTCTTGCTGCTTCCACTCTGCTTTGCGAGCGGAATTTCCGCTTTTCTCTGCTCCATTGGAGGCAGGGAGCTCTTACTGTGCAAGGTTGGGGGGCAAAGGGATGAACCGCCAAACTGTTGCGATGTCAGAAATCAGATGCCTTGGAGTGTGGAAGCAATTCTTAATGAGAGGGTCAGGGGGGCCAAGGTCTTAGGGAGCACATTCTTCTCTCATGGTGGTCCTTGGCTTCTCTGAGGCCTCCCCTCCTCCTCACACCTTTGATCTGTCCAAAGAGGAGTCTGGTCCTGTCGTGTGGATGGATGGACTCTGGGATCCTTCTCAGGGTGGCATCCAGTGATGCTGATTCCAGCCCTCTCTGATCAGACCAGAGCCGGCATCCCACTGAACATTGGCACTGTCCTCAGGGAGAGGAGCCCAGAGCCTTCTTCCAACTCATCCCAGACCAGCTCAAAGAGTCCATGAATTTCATCAAGTCACTGTGAATAGAGCCCATGCCAGGCTCTGTGCCATCTTGTATGTGCATTATGTGTGTCTGTATGTGTGCGCACCATCGGGTGAGGTTGGTGGGGAGGATCATGGTCCTGTGATCAGTTTTGCAAGATGTCAAATCCCTTTTCTGATAGGATCAAACAGTCAGGCTATGATCCCGTGACTTTCCTCACCTTTCACCTGTCCATCCCAGAGTAAACGTGGATCCTGAAGGAGACAGCACTGTGCTTGGGGAGATATGATGAGGTCAGGGCTGCACTGACCCCTATTTCTGTCTCTTTCAAGGTTGAGTCAGAGCTGGTCTCCATCTGTCTTTTATCTATGAGGGTTTCAGTCTGCTTCCGTGTAAACTAGGGAATGAGAGCCCAAAGGTGGTGCCGCCCCTCCCCTACAACTCCCCAATTAATAGCCTGGCCCCTGGGTGGAGCCTCTTTGCTCTTTCTTAATAGGGTAGGGACTACATTATGGTCTGGTCCAACCTGCCTCTGGGTTGTGTCCCAAGACGCCATCTAACACCTGCCAAATAGTCCTCTTGCCTTTGGCTCCCATTAAGGAATGACTTGGTGGTCAGGGAAGAGAGAATGGCATCAAGTAAGGGAAACCCAATTTCCCCTTTGAAAGTGGGTTCGTTGAACTGTGTGTTTGGGGGAAGTTCCTCTGGATACTAATTTGAATTTATATACCTCATGTTTTGGGGATTTGACGTATATATATGCATATATATTTCATAATATTTGGAAGGTTTTTAATGTGAGAAAAAACCTGAAACAAAAGAATCTTCAAACATGATACTTAAGTTGGAGCTGGAGGCCAAACTTTCCTGAGAACCCAGCCCCATGGCTGTTGCTGCTGTGAAGCCTGCAGCCATTCTGACATTGGTGGAGCCAATAGATTCACTTGGTGAGCGTCACCCACATCCTTGGTACATGCTGATGGGTGCTGAACTACACTTTCCAGATGGCTGTTGACTGTGAAACTGCTCCAACAGAAGGAACCCTGGTAGGACGAATTATTGCTGCCATTTTTGTCCCAGTTCTATCAGCCGGTGGCCATTTATCTAACCAGCAGACCAAGAGATTGGCCCCGAGTTCCCTGCATCATGGAGCAGTTTCCTGTCATGTGCAGGAAAGAAACATCTGAATGAAATAGACGAGACATTCCTCCGGAGTTCCATGCCGCACCCCATGGTCTCCATCATGTACCAGGAGAGTCAAGAGATTCCTGGAAATCCAATTCTCACTGTAGGCTCAGGACCATCTCTGCCCCTGCCTTTAGCCCCCTTGCCCACAGGGATAAGGGAACAGATTGAGGGTCAGTGGGTAGAAAAGCCCACAATGGAGGCAGTACGAGGTGGAGAAGGAAAGAGACATGCTTTGATATGAGAAGTGGGTGATGGGGAACAGAGTGATTCCCCTGTATCAGGAGAATGTGGAGATGGGAAGGAGAGGGTCAAGAACAGAAGAAAGAAGACCAAAAGACTACTTCAGGGAGTCTTTATACCAGGGGAAATACCACCTTTGAGAATTTGTCTTCATACCTTCATGAAGCCCTCCACTCAAATTTCGATTCTGACTATGCCCTTTCTCATCCTGTCGAAGGATGTTCACTCGGGGTTACCTCATCCTTACACTACTCTTCTTGTGGGACTCTCTGGCTAGAAGAGATGTAGGATTTTCCTTCTAACACTGTGTCAGCCAACATGATGGGCATTCCTGTGCCCTAGCTCTTGTACCAGCCTGGTATGGGGCAGCCTCGGGTTCCAACAGAGGCTCTGCACACCCATGTTTTCCCCACCAGATACCTACCTTGTCCCCCTGGTCCAGGCAGGGAACCCCATGCCTTTCTGTCCATCCACTTAGCACCAGCAAGCAACTTTCTCCTGTCCAGAGTCCCCAGGGATGAGAAACGGGATTGGAGACAAATCTTGACAGAACCTCATCCCTTACAAGATGAATTGTGTCCATGTGGTTGCCTGTGCCTTTGTGTTTTCATTCTTCTCCTCATTTTGTGAATTTGGACTTCTCTGTGGTTTTATACTTGGTCCAGAGTACTCATCCTGGTATTGCACTGATATGCGCATGAGAAAGTTGGGGGAACAACCCCTTGTGGTTGTTGAATAACTGTGTGGTACAAGAAAGGGCCCTGCTCCCTTTCCTTGTCTGTGGTCACTGGCATTTGAGTGGGGGAGGGTGGGAGCTTGGGGAGAGAGCAGGTGAATGTCCTAATGTAAATTGTTCTGTTTGTAACCGGTGAGTTTTGAAGTTCTTGGTGTTACTCTGTGAGAGGACATCGCCACCTGGTGCTCATGAGGTGTATGTGCGGAACAATAAATGGCAAACGAACAACTGCTAATTTGTGCAGATGGTGTTAACCTGCTGTTTGTACATCACTGCATCTATCTCTGAGGCATTGGGATTATCCCCCTGGGTCTTCATGCAACCACAGGTTCCTGTGCTGGTTGTGGGGGAGTCCCTTCTCACATCTTTTCCACCCACACATTTGACCAACGCCCCTGACTTGACTCTGTTCCCCTAAAGAAACAGACTGCAGGCAGAGGAAATACTTCAGGGAACTGAAGGAGGAAGACTGCCTTAAAATAATGATGTTTACTTCTTAAAAGTCCCTCAACCTGACTACAATATAGTACAGGCTGCTGTTTTTAAATAAAAGTTTGGCATTAATTGTCCTAATGCTAATGAAAAAAAAATTTTTAAAGCCAAAATGAAGGCCGTTGCCAGCAAGTTGATCCTGACTCATGTGACCCCATGTATCGGAGTGAACTGCCCCCCACAGAGTTTTCTTGGTTGTCATCTTTACGGAAGCAGATCACCAGGGCTTTGTTCATGGCCTCACTGGGTTCAAACTGGAAGTTTTAGGTTAGCTGTGAATTAGGTGCAGTTGGGCCAATTACCACTCAGATGGAGCCAACATATAGCAGAAGGAACCAGCCAGGCCTGCACTGTGCTCACAATCATTGTGTTTAAATCCACTGCTGTCAATCTATCTTGTTGAGGACCTTCCTTTTCTTCTCTGACCCTTGATTTTACCAGGCATGATGTCATGCTCTGAACGGGCCCTCCTGATAACCTGCCAATAGTACATGAGACAAAGTCTTACAGCCTTGCTTGTTAAGGAACATTCTGGTACTTTCAGTCTTCTTCACCAACACCATCTTCTAATGAGAACACATACAAAAAATAATGCTAATGTGAACACCCTGGTCACCCAGATCTCTTCTTCTGTTCACGAAGAGTGGCTTTCTTGAAATCACAGGTTTAGTGTGTCCACAGACCCCCACCCCCTCCGAGGCCCTTAGTTAGGAAAGCAAGAAGATACCTTCAGCCCCTGGACTTTGAAATCACAGCTCAGGAGGCCCCCCAACTGGGGTTCTGACTTGCTGAAGGGAAACTGCCAACTTTCACCTTTGATTTCATAGGTATGAGCAGTCAGACAGTATATTTCTTGAGCACACATTTTAATGCATATTTGTTGTTAAGTGCCATGGAGTTGGTTCTGACTCAATGTGACCCTGGTGAGTTTGAACGGTCGACTTTATGGTATGAAGTCCAGTGCTGACCACACCAGGAGTCCAATACATATTAAGATACAGCTTTTTTTAAGTAGAAATATAAGTTCTTGGAGAACTTTCATTTCAATGGTTAGTTGGGCCCTTGAAAGTCTGGTAGCCTTTGCCTATAATTTATCTTTCTGACTCAGTGATCTTCCAAAAATTATTGGGAAATGAAATTTTCAGAAAATGGCCACATTGGCTGAAACATACCCACAAAACACCCAGAGGTATAGGAGAGCATTTAAATGCATTTCTGGAAAGCTCTTGAAGAGGCAGGGTAAAGTCATGGTGGCAAGAATCACTCTTTCTGATTGGACAGTCAAGAACAGGATTCATATTCCCACGAATAAGCACCCTTGAAGCCGTCTTTCCACAGACTGGGATGCTTCCAGATTCCCAGAAGAAGATGCTAGTATAAACCCAAGCTCTTGATTATGAACATGAATGAGGAGAGAACAAACTATCTTATGAAAAAGCATAATTTTCATTTTTTGTGGAGAAACATAAAAGATTGGTATGAAAACAGGGTAAAGCCCTAAACCTAGTTGCTTGTCAATCACCTGTCCTTGCTAGATGCCCCCAGTCACAAGTGATGCTGGGTGTCATTTTCACTTCATTAAAAAACCTGAACTTGATCGTGTCAACCCCATCTGCTGGGGGAGAAAAAAAAAGACGGGGCTTTTCACTCAGCTTTGGTTTTAGGGAAGAAATAATGCCGAGTGAGAGTTTGCTTGAGTTCTGACCTTTTTTCCTTTTTTCCACAAACTCAAGCTTGTTGGTGGCATATGTATGTGTGTGCATGTGAGGTGTGTATATGGTTGTTGTTGTTATGTGCCGTGGAGTCGGTTCCCACTCATAGTGACCCTGTACAGGGTTTCCGAGGCTGTAAATCTTTAATGAAGCAGAAAGACTTATCTTTCTCCCATGGTGAGTTTTGAAGTTCTTGGCATTGCTCTGTGAGAAGACATCGCCACCTGGTGCTCATGAGGTGTATGTGCAGGACAATAAACAGCAAACCAGCAACCACACATTTGTGCTGATGGAAATTACCTCTTTGGGTCTATAAGCAACCACAAATTCTTGCACTGGCTGCAGGGAGAGTCCCTTCTCTCTTAGTGTAAGTATATGTAGTGTGTATGTGTCAGTGTCTGTATGTAAATAGGGTTATTTGTGGGTATGTGTGGTACATGTGTGTATGTGTCTGTGTGGTAGGAGGGCAGGAGGGATGGGGATCATCTATGGCAAATGGAGGAATTCTATTTCAGTAATAAAGAACATGAAATGGTAACACTCAATCTATCCAAATCTACAACCTCTCTTGGTTTTGTGTGCTGTTGAGTAGGTTCTGACTCCTAATGACCCTATATAGGGTTTCTCGGGTGCAGTGGTTGGTGGTTCCTGCTGCTGCTGTCTTTGAGGTTAGCAGCCCAACATGTAGCCCACTATGTCATCATGGCTCCTATAACCTCTCTGGTTGGTTGGTTGATGGTTATGTGCTGTGGAGTCGGTTCCGACTCATAGGGACCCTGTACTGGGTTTACAAGGCTGTGAATCTTTATGGGAGCAGAAAGCCTCATCTTTCTCCCAAGAAACCGCTGGTAGTTTCAAACTGCTGATCTTGAGATTAACAGCCTGATTCGTAACCACTATGCTACCAGAGCTCCTTATAGTTCCTCTGTGTTGTTGTTGTTATGTGCCGTGGAGTCAGTTCCAACTCAGCGACCCTGTACAGGGTTTCTGAGCCTGTAAATCTTTATGGGAGCAGAAAGCCTCATCTTTCTGCCGCAGAACTGCTGGTAGTTTTGAACTGCTGACCTTGCTGTTCGCAGCCCAATTCGTAACCACTATGCTACCAGAGCTCCTCTAGGTGCCCTATTTATGATGATTTAAGAAGAAACCAGATAGTCAATTGTAGGTAAGAGTTTTCATTTCCTGCAAACGTTCCCATCCCACTTGACCTCCAGATAGACGTTCATAAGTTAAAAGATTTTTTGAGGACTTTCTAACACTGGTCAGAAGTCAAAGAATGGTCTGATCTTAGTAACTGTGGTCCACTTGTGAGTGAGGTGGGTAATGTAGGGTTGGTGTAGGAACAGCTTCCTTTTCACACTGGAAGCTTAGAGTTGGCTCAGAGGAGATAACATATTGCATCAACATGAAACCCTCAAAAAGCATTTAAAAAAATAAATAACAGTGTTCAGACATGATTTTGTGTGTTTTGCAGAAGCACTGTCAGCCTCCAGGACCATGAAATCTAGGAACAGCAGTGAAAGGCTTAATGCTTAAAGGCAGAAATTCTTTTAGCTCATCATGAACTGGAAAACCCAGCAGAGCTTACCCTGAATGAATAGTCTCCAAATCAAAACATCAGCATTCTCCCGCCTGTCTTTTCACACATAGACATTCAGAAGGCAACTGACAGGCAGAGAAAAGATACCACGTTCATGTTTTAGGATCTAGGATAGATTTTACTTAGAAAGACACAACTGCAATTGTCCCCATCTTCCCCCACCCCCCAACATCGTCCCTGTAGCTCCATGACTTTCCTGACCCCGATGTTCTAAAGAAGAACTCACCACTTTCACTGGGGAGGCAGAGTGGAGAGGCAAACAGTGAGAGACGGGCTTGCAGCCCTGGTGGAAGATGAGGGAGATTTAGACTGGATTCGGCTCCTGCTCTTGGTAGTGAGGGACATCTTCAGTTGCTACGGTGCTTGGAGCCAAACTCTGTCTCTCATCCTCGATTGTCTGGTACTCCCTCTTCTTGTACTTCCTCATGCGGTAGACCACCAGGGCAATGGCAACTGCCAGGAGAGTGGTGGTACCCAGAGTGATCCCAGCTGCTGCTCCACCTGACAGACCACTCCCTTCCCCGTGGATGTCCTTTAGGGCCCTCCGCAGCTCTGGCAGCTCTCCCAGTCTCCACTGGTTGGTCTCGTAATCTTTAATCCAGGAGCTTGAAGTCGCAGTGTTGGTCACCATGACAGTATTGGTGGAAGCCTGACTCATGATGGGTGGCCGGGTGTATGGAGGGAGCCTGGCAGGGGGTAGGGACCCTCCTGTGAAGAGCCCAGCTTTGACGCAATAGGAGACTTCGCACCCATCGCTAATGAGGGCTAGGTGCTGACTGAAGCCCCCAGGGCATTTTTTCGGTGAAGGTGTACCTAAGTCTCTTGGCATAGCAGAATCCACTAAGGGGTTCCCGACTGCACAGCTGAAAAACCCACCAAAGGGAACGGAAAACCTGTATCCTAACTCATAGTCCTGAGAAGCACATACCGTGAGGCTTTCAAAGAGTCTCAGAGGGAAATAGCCCGCCGGGCAGGACTGCGCGTTTGTCAAAGGGTTGATGCTCTTACCACTGAAGAGGCCCCCAAAAAGTAGTCCTGAGTCTGAGGTGACTTGGCCACTGGCTACGCACCAAAAAGCACTGAACTTGGCCTTTGCCACCCGGAACACATCTTCACACACCGTCTTGCAGAAAATGAGGAGTTTGCACTTTCTCTGACATTCTAGGTGGTTGTAACCCTCCTCATGGATCTGGGATAGAAGGTGGATTGGTGAGTAGCCAGAGGAGCAGGAAAAGTCTCCGGTCAGTGGGTTCTTTTGCTCCAAGTGTTGGCAGAGGAGGACTGCTTCATTCCCTGAGAACTGAGTGCATTCTTGATAAACCCCTCCAAAGGTGAAGTTGGTCATTTTCCCTTCACAAGAGCTGTCATCTGTGTTGGCCTGAAAATTGAAGTTGGGTGAATTGAAATCTGTGCATCCAGGGTAGGTGTTGAAAGCGTAATAGCGCTTCACAGCCATTTCCACTGTCCGAGACAATTTCTTCACCAAGGGTCCTGGCAATCCAGGCAGCATGTTGGGGTTGATGAAGAAATGCAGAGGCAGACCAGCACGATCTAGAGCCACCAGGTGGTTGGTGATGCCCTGCTGCCAGGTCTGGAGGGTAATGCCTGGGAAAAAGGGAACCCCTCCAATGCTTTGCACCCTGGAGTTGGTTCGGTTCGAAAGGTAGCTTTTGGTGAGGGCGTTCTGTGACACATAGTTATCCTGAAATTTGAAGTTGATGATGTTTTGAAAGGCAATACCAGCAGATGCAGTTAAGGCACTGTGGCTGCTCTCACTGTCTTCCAGGAAGGAGGATCTGATGTAGTCTTCCTGGATGAGAGCAGCTCCAGCATCCACACTGGTGATAACGTGGGTACCATAGTTGAGGACCAGGAGTTCTGCCAGGTAGGTGGCCATCCGAGTCTGGTTGTTCTCTAGACGGTCAGAGATATCCATAAGCTCCTTCCGAAACCCCCGACTCAGTTCTAAAGTTGGGTTAATTCTGACTGTGTAGACCAGGTTTCGTACCTCAACCCGAGTTGTGATAGCTTGGTCCTTTACCTGACGGGTTTTCATTCTCTGGAATTCAGAGGAGAATTTGCCATTGATTTTGGAGAAAAGGCCAAGCTCTGTGTTGATGGAGTTGGAGGTGCTACTATGGTAGTTCATCCAGGAGTCCAGGATTTCTGAGTTCATCTCCAGGTTACTCTGTTTCTGGGGAATGGTGAAGATTTCATCAGGAATGATGTACTGTCCATCTTCTGTGGTCCTGCAGTTGATGTAAGTCAAGCCCATCACCCGTCCCATGTCCACATTCCGTAGGTTATCCCAGCCACCTCCAGGTAAGACTTCCAGAACAGGGAGGTTCAAGGAACTCTTGCATTTTTGAAATCCAGCTTTATCTGTCTCCTCCAGAGACTTGTCCCCTTTTGTCCATACTGCTACCACCCAGAAAAAGAGGGCAGCCTTGAAGGTGGTCATGGCTCAGACAGCCCAGACCACACACCAGCCCTAAGCAGCAGCCAGAGAACGTGGTGCAAACTGATCACTGGAAAAGAAAGCAGCTGCTGAAACAGAAAACAAACCAGTTCTTCTAAAATCACCAGTTCCTCTTTGTAGCTAGTCTAACTGCAAAATAAGGAAGTGAGGGTTGAAATATTAAGTTCCATCAGGACTGGGAAGAAACACACAGATACGACCTATACTCCAAATACTATAGCTGCCTTTCTCCCTTTCCCAACTACTCTTCAGAAGTTATGGGTACCCCCACCCCACCACCAAATAAATGCTTCCACACAGACTTTTTTGGCTTCCATTAGCTAAATCGATTTATCTCTGTGGATTCTATCCTTTTGTACTCTGTTTTTGCTTTTTTGTTGACTCTAGAACTTGATGTTCAAACTTTCCCTACTCCCTTTCCTGGAACTCAAATTCTCTTTTATTGGAATTGCAGAGCTGAATGACAACATTGCGCTTGTCAAGACATTCCTACCTCTGCCTTGTCCACCTGAATGGTTACTTCAAGGGCAAAGCCTTGGGCTTCCCATTTATGAGAGAATGAAGGTGAGAAAGGAGAGAAAATCTAACACAGGAGTCTTGTGGGATTTCATGATCATAACTCTGTGTAGTTGTGGCTCTAGAGGCTGTGCTACCTGGGGCAGGCTTGTCCTGGCCAGAAGAGGTCTCTGCTATGCTGCAGTAAGTCTCTGTCTGCCTTGTCCAAGCATTCAAAGGGAGGGCCTGGGGAGGGTGAGCCCACCTATCATTGTTCCTTTCAGAAATGCTCAAGCAAAGAGAAAATCCACACTATAATCCAAACAGACAGTAGACAAGAATCCAAGGTAATACATGTATGTGTGTGTATACACTTATATGTCTTGTACATATGTGTGTGTGTAGCAGGCAATACATTGGCACGGATGAGGTGGTTTCAAAAACTGTGTGGACCAATTCGACTAAAAGGTAGTGTAATGTCCCCACAAACTTTTTAAAGCCCTCTTTGTACTATTACATCTTTAATTTTTTTTATTCCATCGTTAACTGGCTCTTTGTTACTCATTCTTTTCAAAGTAAAAACAGTGTGCTGTATGTTTGTTGTTCTCGTCAGTGAGTTGACTTTGATTTATAACAGAACACAATGCTGTCCGGTCTTGCAGCAGGTTCGTGACCTTATATATGTCTGGACCCATTGTTGTGGCTGTTTTACCAACCCATGTCATTGAGGGCTTCCCTCATTTTTGCTAACCTCTCCTTTACTAAACACAATGTTTTTTCTAGTGACTGCTCTTTCTGATGATGTGTTCATAGTGAGTGAACTGAAGTCTCACCACGTTTGCTTCTAAGGACCATTTTAGTACTTCTGAGGCTGATTTGTTTGCTCCTCTGGAAGTCCATGGTATAGTCAATCTTGTTTGACAACACAATTCAATTGCATCGGCTCTTCCTCTTTTTTCTCCCCATTCTTCAGCTTTCACGTGTAGATGAGGCTTTTGAAAAGATAATGGCTTGGTCAGGCACACCTTAGTCATCAAAGTGATATCTTTAGGAAAGTGTATGGGTCGATGGCTTTGCTTTTATATGTGGAGGTAGGTCTGTTAGGCCTCAAAGTTTAAGACAGTGGTCCAGGTTCATTAATCTAGACTCAGGACTAACTGAAGCTCAGCTCTGTTGATTCTTTGGGACAACTAGGTATATGGTGTGGGAACTAGGGAATTCAGGAATTCAGTTTCACCCTGTTGTTGTTGGTGAGTGCTTTTAAGTTGGTTCCGACCCTTAGTGCCCCTGTATAGGGGTTCTGAGAAGTGACTAGTATGTTTGACTGACTGACCTTGTGGCTCAAACTGACCTTGTGGTCTAGTGCATTGTCCTGCAGGGCCATACCTAACACCCCCTAAAATCATATCCTGAATCAGTTACAGTGGTAAAACTAAGACAAAAAAACAAACAAACATGTTTCAATTCACAGACATCACAATCACATTACCACCTAGCTATACCCTGGAAAGAAGATTGAAAGGAAATGATTTGTCCCAGACTGTCGCTGAATGAATCAGTTAAAAAGTGTTATTAGAAAGCTTGCTAGGCTGAGCTTTACTTGTTGTTGTGTACGATGGAGTCGGTTCCGACTCACAGAGACCCTGCACAGGGTTTCCGAGGTTGTAAATCTTTATGGAAACAGAAAGCCTCATCTTTCTCCTGCGGAATGGCTGGTAGTTTCCAACTGCTGACCCTGAGATTCACAAAACCCTATACAGGGTCGCTATTGGTAGCATGGATCTACTTACCTAAACAAAATGGAGTTGGTTTAGTCATCAGGGCTCAAATGAGGACCCTGCAAATGAGGAAGTTTAAAAATTAGCTAAGATGACCCTGTTTCGTTCTGCTGTGCATAAGGTTGCTATGAGTCTGTGCCGATGTTACAACAACAAGATGACCTTCTGGTCCTAGAAGGCGAACAGGACAAGGAGAATAGGACGTGCTTAAACCTACCCAGATAGTTATCTCAAGAATTAAGCAGCTGAGACCACTAAAGCTAGAATGTTTAAGGAAGTTTGTTGATTTATTGTTCTTTTTCCCTATAGGTAAAATGTTTGAGGAGGTTTATTTCCTTATTGTTTCTTTTCTCAAAGAATGCTATCTTGATGTTAAAATAGCTCAAGTGTTCATCCAAATGTAAGTTACCCTATCTAATGTGCCTGCTCTTTGTGAACAACAGGAGGATCTTGAGAAACTCCATTCTCCAGACTTCTGGCTTTCTGTTAACAAAGCTTGGATTGGGTCTCTCCCCATCTCTGTGATGGACTACAGTGACTGGTGGCAAGCCCTCTTCTGTTTGGCAACACTGTGAGTCAGAACTGACTCAACGCTAAACTGAGGCATTCATGTCAAAGTAATCATGCTTCAGGGAGCTGACTTATACATACCATCCACTAAAGAGGGCTTAATTTATGAACCTGTGTCCAACTTATTAAGTCGAAAAGGAAGAGTTATTTAACCAGAGAACCAAACCTCTGCACAGGATGTTCTAATTAATTTACCCATCAGTTAGTTATAAATTTATAGTTCAGTAGAATGAGCCCAGAATTAGAAAAATTGGAGTTGAATGCCCTTGAGTACTTCCAGTAAGCCTCTTGAAATATTCACATATTCTCTTTATACTGATTCAGGGCTGATTAATTAGTATCAGAATGGTCTCTTACCTGTACTGTCTGACAAAAGGTATGCTGACAATTTCTGACCATGAAGCCCCATTGAGACTTTATTCTACAATGAAAATACAAGCAAGATGAATAAAGAGGATATGATGTTCCTGCATCTCTAAACACCCAGTCATTGTCTTTTTCTTTCTTTCTTTCTTTCTTTCTTTCTTTCTTTCTTTCTTGCTTTCTTGCTTTCTTGCTTTCTTGCTTTCTTGCTTTCTTGCTTTCTCGCTTTCTCGCTTTCTCTCTTCTCTCTCTCTCTCTCTTTTGTGTTTCAGGCTTCATCTTCATTTTCATTAGAGCAAAAGTTTGAAGAGTCCAGGAGCAAACAACAGTAAAACTGTACTGTATCCATCATTCATCTGTTATAATTTGTTGCACTGAGGTGGCTTGTGTATTGTGATGCTGGAAACTGTGTCACCCATGGTGGACATGTTTCAGCAGAGCTTCCAGACTAACAGAGACTAGGAAGAAGGACCTGGCAATCTGCTTCTAAAAAAGTTTGACTAAATGAAAATCTTATTAGCAGCATAGACACATGGTCTGATACAATGCCAGAAGATGAACTCCTTATGTTGAAAAACTCTCAAAATAAGACTGGGGAACAATTGTCTACTCAAAGTAGGGTTGACCTTAATGATGTGAATTTAGCTTTTGGGACCTTCATTTGATGATGGAACCCAACTCAAAATGAGAAGAAAGAAACAGCTACAAATATTCCCTAATAATTAGAATATGGAGTGTATGAATCATGACTCTAGGAAAACTGGAAGTTGTCAAAAAAAAAAAAAAAAAGAAAGAAAAGAAATGGAACACTTGAAGATAGATATCCTATGCATTGTTGTTGTTAAGTGCCTTTGAGTCAGTTCTGATTCATAGTGACCGCATATAGGGTTTCTAAGGAGTGGTTGGTGAGTTTGAGCCACTGACCTTGTTGTTGAAAACAACCCTGCAGTCTTATACATTATCCCACAGCGCCCCACCCCCAGGACTCCATCTGGTATTGGCCATTTTGAATTAGACAATTATATGGTCTACTATGCTGGGAATAACAAATTGAAGAGAAACGATGTTTCACTTATCATCAAAAGGAACATTTCACCATCTATCCTGACATATAACTCAGTCAGTGGTAGGATAATATCCCTGCATCTTCAAGGAAGACCAGTTAATATGACTATTATTCAAATTTACGTATCAATCACTAATGCAAAAGAAAAAGAAATGGAAGATTCCTACCAAGTTTTCCAGTTTGAAATTGATCAAATATGCAATTAAGATTCATTGACAATTACTGTTGATTGGAATGAGACAGTTCAAACAAAGAAGAAAGAGTAGTAGTTGGAAAATAAGTCCTTGGTGTTAGAAATGACGCTGGGGAGTGTAGGATAGAATTTTGCAAGACCAATGACTTATTAATTGCAAGTATTTGGTTTTCAACACCATAAATGACATCTATACACATGGACCTCACTAGATGAAATGTACAGGAATCAAACTGACTACATCTGTGGAACTAGATGTAGCTTAATATCATCAGTCAGGGGTCAGCTTCAGAATAGTCGATCAATTGCTATATGCAAGTTGAAATTGAAGCCCAAGAAAATGAAAACAAGTCCAGGAGAGCCAAAGTATGACTTTCAGTAAATCCCATCGGAATTTAGAGACTATCTCAAAAACAGACTTGACACATTGAACAATAATGACTGAAGAAGATCAAATGAATTCTGGGATAACATCAAGGGCATTGTATATAACCTTGTGGTTAGCAATCTAGTGCTT